CTTCTGCAGGCTCCGCAATCACAGGCCCTGTGGCTAAGGAGTGTGCGGATCTGTGGCCCAGGATAGCCTCCAACGCAGGAAGCATTGCATAGACGCGTTCATCTTCGCGGAGATAAAATAAAAGTCCTTGTACCAAATAAGTAGTGTCTTTCTTGCTAAAGCGCCCTCCCCTGCTGAGCAGGACGGAGTTAGAATGAGGGAGGTCGTGCTGGGAAACCTTTTGATGGAGCTCCTTGCGTGGAGTTTTTAGTATCTAGTGATGTCTCTTTTTTTTTTTCTTTTTTTTTTTTTTCAGGCAGGTTCCTATATTACTGGAAAATATCTGGAAGGGGGTTGCACTGGAATGACTTAGATCTTAGCAATATTGATTGAATCGATCCAATTTATGCACAGCTAGAAAATGGGAGGGGTCAACAAGAGCCCTTCCACAAGCAGCTGTTGTACAGGGGGTCTCAGAATTGTAGGTCTGGAATTTTTTTTTTTTTTTTCCAGAATGGCCAGTTTTAACTGCTTAGAAATACCGGCCTGATTCTGTGTGTGTGGAAAAATATTGCCTGAAAGCGATCTGTACCGTGAGGTGCAGAGTTCGCTGTGGATGGGGGGGCTCTGAAGAACAGGTGTTAAACCTTGCTGAAGACTTGCAAGGACACATCACGCCCACCGCTGCTGGCTGAGGTGGTGGCTGAAGCACGTGCCTCTGCACCCCCATCAGTGGTGAAACAGGCCCTGCGGTCACTGATTGCTAATTGCAAGCAGAAGGGGGGGATCTGAACTTTTCAAGGTGAAGAAAGGCTCTGAGAATCCGAGTTGGAAGGTATGTCTGTGCAAAAAAAGCTCCTTGTGCGGTGTGAAGTTGGTGCTTCAGCCAGGACACCAGGAAAATCAGAGGAAGGAATATTTGGTTGTGAACTGCAGGTCAGCTGGTCTGCCCCTCCTGAGCGAGGGCCACTGGAGGGGCAGGGAGGTGACCTTGTACCTGGGCTCATGAGTGGAAATAGGGGTGACTGTGCTGCCTGTCGTGGCCCCCAGGCTGACGCCAGCACAGACGATGCTGGGGGCACAGGGCAGGTAATGGGGGGCTGCAGCCCCTAGTGTGGTTTGGCTTGGCTTCATCGGCCCTGGCACAAAGCTGTTCCCACAGCACGCTTCAAATTCCCTCTGCTTAAAGATTTCTGATAACTTTCATGGTATTCCTGATGCTTTCCGTGCAGAGGGGCTGTTGTGGAGGGTGGTGAAGGGAGCCAGAACCTCAGGGATTTTGTACCACAAAGAGGTAACGATGGACAAGAGCACCAGGGTCTTGCAGTGACTTGCAAAGCGGTTTTAAACAGCTGGTTGGCCTGACAAGAATCTGCAAAATATCGTGGCCTGAAAAGGGTTTCTCAGACATTCCCCCAGGATCCTCAGGAGCTGTGTGCTGGCAGTGGCTGGGGAGGGGAAGCTTGGAACAGGGCTCACGCAGACTGAAGGCCACTCTCGTTTCTACAGGCCGTTCCACGGACCCTGCAAGTGGTTGCAGCTTCTTCCCAGCCGACGTGGCACCCACAGGAAGGCCCACGGGAGCTCTGGCCGTCACCGCGGCGCTCCGGACCTGCAGCCGAAGCCCATCTCTTTCTTTCTGAGCCATGAGCATCTTTCCAGTGTGCTGCTGCTGAAGGAGCTGTTCCTCAGACCTGGGGCGAGGTGCAGAGACCTGCTTAAGAGTAAGGAACCCCCGCAAAAATAAAAGTGTTCTCCCTTGATCTATTGTAACAGCTTGTGCTGGATTTCTGACTTGTAAGGATGTTCTTCTGAGGCAGGGTATGGCGCGATAGTTGGGTGAAACGCTTTGAGTGTTTCTTTTTGGGCATTGCCTGCCTTTGGGCTGCCCCTCGGGGAGGACAGAGGGGCTGGGGGGGTGTGGGAGGTGTCGTGGCAGGTGTTTCTCTGCGAGGCCGGTTGTGCTCTCAAAGGGCAGGGCACACCCTGAGACCAAACAGAGGTGCAGCCCAGCGCCGTCAGCGGCGTTTTGAAGTCAGGGTTTCACTGTTCTTTCGTCTTCTCCGCGATGGGATGATTTAGAGAAGGATAATTGGGAATTCATGAGCCTGGCTGCCAGGAGCCTGGTTGTAAATGTGGTGAGAGAGGCGGGGAGGGGTTTAAGGTGACCCGAGGGGTAACGCCAGGGCTGGTGTATGCGAGAGGCAGCCGCAGGAGTGTGAGTGCAGGGGGTGGAATGCAGCAGAGCCGCCTCGTCCGTGGCCACAAGCAGCCGTACCTGGGAGTGCTGCCCAGGTGGGGGTATAGCTCAGGGGTAGAGCATTTGACTGCAGATCAAGAGGTCCCCGGTTCAAATCCGGGTGCCCCCTCCCCTTTTTTTTCTTTTTCTCCAGAAAACATTGTTTCGGAGCACTTTATTTCAACGCTTTTCCCATAACCTGTCCGCAGGATCCAACCTCAGTTTGATCTGGCGCTGGCCAGAGAGAAAGCAGCAGATTCCCACAGGAGGAAGAGGAGTATCGGGGAGGTGTTTGCGAGGAAAGAGATAAGTATTTTGTGAAAAGCTGCTTTCTGTCCTGGGTTAAATTTGGGGAGCTTTGATGTGAGACCATTGCCCAGGAGATTTCTGCTGGGCAGCGCTGTGACAGCAGGGGGTATAGCTCAGGGGTAGAGCATTTGACTGCAGATCAAGAGGTCCCTGGTTCAAATCCAGGTGCCCCCTCCCTTTTTTTTCCTTCTTTTCTTGGGATTTTGGGGTGCTTGTTCACTGCAAGGCAAACTGGTAAGATCAGCTCAGTTTCCTCTCCTAATAATTCCTTTTCACGTTACAGCCGGAGCTGGAAAGCGTGGGAAAAATGTCCAAGACTGAGGCAGTTGCTGTGTCGAGTCACCGTGAGCTGAGAAAGAACCAAGAGAAACTGAGGGAGGAACCGGAGAGGTGGCTGGAGAGGAACGGGGCCAAGGTCGTCTGGTACGTAAAGCAGAGAGACAGCGTCTGTCTGCGGTGCTGGAGAGCCGTGACACAAGGTCTTTGGTGCTGTCGTGTTTCAGTGTTGTGATTTCTGCCGCAGGGTCTGAGTCCCGCAGCACAGAGACGCCGGGGACTGGGGAAGAACGCCCTGTCCGTGTCGTTTGGTGAGCAGGTGTGCGCGGGGGGTATAGCTCAGTGGTAGAGCATTTGACTGCAGATCAAGAGGTCCCTGGTTCAACTCCAGGTGCCCCCTCTTTTCTTCTCCTGCACCCCTTCTCCTGCCAGAATTTCTCACTGAAGGATGATGGAGAGCTCCTCTGGGGTCTCCTGAGCTTGTGCTGTGCAGTCAACGCTGGTGTCTGAGCTCCATCACTCAAGGTCTGGAGCCCCTGACTATAAGGAAAGTGCAGGGGTTGTGCCCTGTGAGAGAAACATCTCCCTGACTCTGTGTTTTTGTCTCTGCAGTTGTTATATTTATCACAATTTATCATATTTAACCCCCTGTACCCCCAGTGGCAGGCACATGAAGGTGTGCAGTGGGCTGTCAAGTAAAGGAATCTAACCGGTGGACATAAAAACTTGTTTCTCTTGGAGAAATGTTTTGAAAACGTCCTTGTGAAAGCCTCGTGTGCGGGGGGTATAGCTCAGTGGTAGAGCATTTGACTGCAGATCAAGAGGTCCCTGGTTCAACTCCAGGTGCCCCCTTTTCTTCTCCTGCACCCCTTCTCCTGCCAGAATTTCTCACAGGAAGATGATGGAGAGCTCCTCTGGGGTCTCCTGAGCTTGTGCTGTGCAGTGAATGCTGGTGTCTGAGCTCCATTGCTCAAGGTCTTGAGCCCCTGGCTATAAGGAAAGTGCAGGGGTTGTGCACTAACTACTCACTCTCTCTGTGTACTTGTTTCTTTTATGATTCTGTGTAGTAATTCCCTGCAGAGCCTTTGGCAGGCACATGAAGGTGTGCAGTGGGCTGTCAAGTAAAGGAATCTAACTGGTGGACATAAAAACTTGTTTCTCTTGGAGAAATGTTTTGAAAACGTCCTTGTGAAAGCCTCATGTGCGGGGGGTATAGCTCAGTGGTAGAGCATTTGACTGCAGATCAAGAGGTCCCTGGTTCAACTCCAGGTGCCCCCTTTGGGTTTTACTTTTCCCAGGAAAAAGCCCAGGGAGCTTTCCTGTTTCGGATCTGCTGTGTGCAGAAGGCGGGTCTCTGAACTTGAGTAATCAAGATAATTGAGCACTCGATGAAACCCTTCCTGTGAAAATCAGTATCTGTGTCAGTAACGAAGCAAAGACAGAGGGTTGGTTGGTTGGTTGGCTGTTGCAGGGGTTGTTTTAATCCACGAGGAAACTGTCAGGCCTCTAGTTTGTGTGCATAACTAGACCCTGAGTAATTTGTCTCCAGATTGTGTGCAGCAGCTTTCTGTGCAGAGTTTTCCTTGTGCATCAGTGTGCTGAAGGGGGTGCTGTCATGTGGCACAGTCCAAGCAGCACAGCATCGGAGCTAGGTACGGAGTTTTTTATTGCTCCTTCATGAGTATTAACCCAGGGGGTATAGCTCAGTGGTAGAGCATTTGACTGCAGATCAAGAGGTCCCTGGTTCAACTCCAGGTGCCCCCTCTTTTCTCCTTTTTCAGCCCTTCTTTTGCCAGAATTTCTCACAGGAAGATGATGGAGAGCTCCTCTGGGGTCTCCTGAGCTTGTGCTGTGCAGTGAATGCTCGTTTCTGAGCTCCATTGCTCAAGGCTCTGAGCCCCTGACTATAAGGAAAGTGCACGGGTTGTGCACTGAGTAACTACTCACTCTCTCTGTGTACTTGTTTCTTTTATGATTGTGTAGTAATTCCCTGCAGAGCCTTTGGCAGGCACATGAAGGTGTGCAGTGGGCTGTCAAGTATCTAACTGGTGGACATAAAATCTTGTTTCTCTTGGAGAAATGTTTTTAAAACGTCCTTGTGAAAGTCTTGTGTGAGGGGGTATAGCTCAGTGGTAGAGCATTTGACTGCAGATCAAGAGGTCCCTGGTTCAACTCCAGGTGCCCCCTCTTTTCTTCTCCTGCACCCCTTCTCCTGCCAGAATTTCTCACTGAAGGATGATGGAGAGCTCCTCTGGGGTCTCCTGAGCTTGTGCTGTGCAGTCAACGCTGGTGTCTGAGCCCCATCACTCAAGACTCTGAGCCCCTGACTGTAAGGAAAGTGCAGGGGTTGTGCCCTGTGAGAGAAACATCTCCCTGACTCTGTGTTTTTGTCTCTGCAGTTAGTATATTTATCATAATTTTATCATATTTAACCCCCTGTACCCCCAGTGGCAGGCACATGAAGGTGTGCAGTGGGCTGTCAAGTAAAGGAATCTAACCGGTGAACATAAAATCTTGTTTCTCTTGGAGAAATGTTTTGAAAATGTCCTTGTGAAAGCCTCGTGTGCAGGGGGTATAGCTCAGTGGTAGAGCATTTGACTGCAGATCAAGAGGTCCCTGGTTCAACTCCAGGTGCCCCCTCTTTTCTCTTTTTTCAGCCCTTCTTTTGCCAGTTTCTCACAGGAAGATGATGGAGAGCTCCTCTGGGGTCTCCTGAGCTTGTGCTCTGCAGTGAACGCTGGTGTCTGAGCTCTGTTACTCAAGGTCTTGAGCCCCTGACTATAAGGAAAGTGCAGGGGTTGTGTCCTGGTGAGAGAAACATCTCCCTGATGCTGTGTATTTGTCTCTGTCCATGATCTGTGTAGTAATTCTCTGCAGAGCCTTTCTCAGGCACGTTAAGATGCACCGTGGGCTGTCAAATAAGAGTCTGCCCAGTCCTTGCAGAACCTTGTTAGTCTTGGAGAAATGTTTTTAAAATGTCCTTGTGAAAGCCTCGTGTGCAGGGGGTATAGCTCAGTGGTAGAGCATTTGACTGCAGATCAAGAGGTCCCTGGTTCAACTCCAGGTGCCCCCTTTTTTAGCTGCTTTTTCACCCTTTTTTTTTTTTTTTCTCAAATCACAGACGGACCGTGCAGCGACTTTCTTCCCCCTCTGAGGTCTTGGAAATCACTTGGTGATCTTTCGCCAAGCGTGAAATCAGACTTTGACATTTTTCTGTCTCTTCTCTGAAATACTGCACGTACGCACAAATCCGGTGGCTGAGGCGAGTTGCTGCTGGTCTAGTTTTTCCTGTTAGTACTTAATTTAAACAGCAGACATGTATATGCAGTATTTAATCTGCAGGTGTGTATAACAGCGTCTTTCCAGAAGCGGAGATCTCTCCAAACGTTTCCCACAGGGAGCTGGGATGGATGACCGGTCTGTGTCGGGTGGCTGAGGTGGTGTCGCGCTCTTCGGGCCCGCCCGGGGCTCGAACTCGCCACCCCC